GTGTATCATCTGTAGGGAAGGAAGGCGGGGTAGGGGTGGCCAAAAAAGGTTGGGGGGGGGGGTAAAGGGGGTTTTTGTGTGCGGGGGTTTGGGGACTTCCAGCAGATGCGGAGCGTGTTTTATAGGATAAGGAGACAATGTTTTTTATACTTGACGTGCTTTTGGGAGTGGAGCAAAGTAACTTTTATGAAGGGGTTCGGGGGAAACTGGCGGGCCGGACTTGAGTCCGGGGAAGGGGGAAGTACAGTCCCGCACCTAAAGGGGGGGTTTTAAATGTTGCATTTTTAAAAACTGTGTGAAAAGCACCCTTTTGGCAAACAGTGTGGAGAAAATGTGGCGAAAGTTTTTTTTTTTCGGGCCACCCCCTTTGGTGGAATGGGCCCATTTTTGATAATAAAATAATAATTAATATAAAATTATAAAATATATATAAAATATATTTATATATATAATATATTATATATATTTTATATATATATTTAAAAAATATATATATTATAATGTATATATATATTATATGTATGTTTTATATATACATTATTATATATATATAAAATATTTATATATATAATATTTTTATATTTTAATTATATATATATATTTTTATATATATATTATTACATATATATATTATATATATATATATATTTGTATAAAAAATTTATATATATATATATATATATTTATATATAAATATATATATATATATAATAAAAATTAATATATATATTTTTATATATATAATATATTATATAAAATTTGAAAAATTATTTTATATATATTATATTTATAATATTTTTTAATTTTATATATTTATGTCGTCCCGAATATGAAACGGGTTAATTTGCAAGAGCTTTTTTAAAATTAAGCCCCTTTCAAAAATTTCTTTTTATTTTAAAGATATTTTTTTTCATTAATTTTAAATGTAAAAATTTTTAATTTTTAAACTAAAGAACTTAGAAAACTTACCAAACCCTTTATTAAAAACAATGAAATTTATTAGCCTAACCCAATAAATATTTTTTAAAATCGTTTACAATAATTTAGTATTAAACAAAAACAGTGAAATATTTTTTTTTCGTTAGGGTTTAGAAAAAATTTTTGGCGAAATTTTTGCATACCAAATTTTCACTTTCCATATGGCAAAATAGGTTGCTATTTAAGCCAAGATCGCAAGTTTGCCTATTTGGCCGACATATAAATATAATTTTAATATATATATATATATATATATTTATTATTAATATTTATATATATTAAATAAAAATATTATATTATTATTTATAAACAGACAGTGTCTCTCCCTACTTTCCGGTACTCTTTTTCAAAGCCCACAAAACCCAAATTTTGACACATTGAGGTGGGAGAAAAAAAAATATAGGTGAGGCTGTCTCTCTCTCTCCACAGTGACTCGGACTGATCTCAAAGGTTTTGCGTGGTTCGCAGGTTTGAGGGCAAGAATCCCCTAAAACACCCCCAAAAAATTCTAAAGGTAGGGTTCCTTCTGCTACTGTTATTATTCGGTTTCTGCTAAACCCAGACTCCTTAACGGCTTTCTACCCAGCTTTTACTGCCTACCACCCGACTTCTTCCCTGCCCACTACCCCCAGCTGCTTCCCTATACTACCCCGCCCCTTTTTATTACTCTAGGCCTCTTCCCCTTTTTTTTACTCTAAGCTTCTTCCCCTTCTGTTACCTAGGCCTTCCTCCCGTTACCCCAGGTACTTCCCTTTCCCGTTACCCCAGGCTATTCCCCTTCCCGTTCCCCAGGTACTTCCCCCTTCCGTTTCCCTAGGCCCCCTTCCCTCCGTTACCCCAGGCTACTTTTCCCCTTCCGTTTCCTAGGTACTTTTCCCCTTCCCTTTTCCCTAGGGGTACTTCCCTTCCCGTTTTCCCCAGGGGACTTCCCTTCCTTTACCTAGGCTACTTCCCTTCCTGTTACCCCAGGCACTTCCCCTTTCCCGTTACCCTAGGGTATTCCCTTCCCGTTTTCCCCGGAACCCCGTTTCCCTAGGGCCCCTTTCCCTCCTGTTACCTAGGCTACTTCCCTTCCTGTTCCCCTAGGTACTTTCCCCTTTCCCGTTCCCTAGGGTACTTTCCCCTTTCCCGTTCCCAGGCTTTCCCCTTTCCCGTTCCAGGGTACTTCCCTTCCCGTTACCTTGGTTTTCCCTTCCCGTTTCCCTGGCTACTTCCCTTCTGTTTCCCAGGCTATTCCCCCCCTGTTACCCTGGTTACTTCCTTTTTTTTACCCTGGCTATTCCCCTTCCTGTTCCCCAGGCCCCTTCCCTTCCTTTACCCTAGGCTACTTTCCCCTCTGTTACCCTAGGTACTTCCTTTTGTTACCCTAGGCACTTCCCCTTTCCCGTTACCCTAGGCCTTCCCCCTTCCTGTTACCCTAGGGGTACTTCCTTCCTGTTACCCCAGTTACCCTTTTTTTACCTGGCTATTCCCTCCGTTACCCAGGGCCCCTTTCCCTTTCCCGTTTTCCCTAGGGCCCCTTTCCTTCCTGTTACCCGGTACTTTCCCCTTTCCCGTTACCCCCAGGCCTTCCCTTTTCCCGTTACCCCGGCCCCTTCCTAACTCCTACATAGAGAAAATTAAAATGGATAAAATCCGAAGGGTTTTTAGGGAAAAAACATCAAAGTTAGGATCTTTTTTATGAAACGTTTCGCCTACAAGTAGGCTTCTTCATCGGTACAGAAAAAATTTATTGAAGCAGAAGTACTTTAAGACGTTAAACTCCTCCCCTTAAAGTTTTTGGGTGGCGTCCCCCCAGTCTGGAGAAGAGCATTTTCCTAGTATGAAAAAATTGGAGAGAAGTGACAGGATGGATTTTATACGCCAAGAGGTGAGACGTAGGCCACTGGGGAGGTAAAACTCAGATGTTGACAGGGCAGGGCCCTCTCAATCCACCTCTCATGTGGAAGTTGTCGAAGTTGATTGCGGGGTTTTACAAAATACCCCTTTTGGGTTGCAGTGTTGACAGATTGAACATTAAAAAAGGTATAAAATACCGACAGGTTTTAGGTAAGACCCAATTGCAACATTAGGTTCTTTATTTTGAAAAATTTCGCCTTCAATAGGTTTTTCAGTCGGTACAGAAAAGTTTAGAAGCAGAAGATACTTTTAAACGATGTAATCAGTCCCCACCCGCTCCATCAACTTTTCTTATCGACTGGAAGATGGTTTTGGCGAAAAGTTTTATAATAAAGATCCTAACTGTTGATTTGTGTCTTTCCCCAACAACCTGTCGGTTTTTTATACCATTTTTAAAGTTCAAACTGTAGACACTGCAACACAGGGTATCTTGGGGAAGGGGCCTCAACAACTTTACAACTTCCCTAGTGAGAGCGGGGAGAGAGGGGCCGACCTGTCAAAATCTGGTTTTTTCCTCTCCAGTGGCCTAGTCTACCCCTTGGCCTATAAAGCTCCATCCGTACTTCATCTCCATATTTTTCATCTATGGAACAATGCCTTTTTCCAATGGGGATGACCAAACCCCAAAAAATTTAAGTGAGGATGATTACATGTCTTAAGATCTTTTTTTTTTCAATTTTCTGTATCGAATGGGTTTAATGTGTAGGGGAAACGTTTATAAAAAGATACCCAACTGTTGCCCTTGTGCTTACTAAAAAACTCCCCTAGTTTTTTTTCTAAAGTATTATTTTTTATATTTTTAAAATTGCGTTTTTTATTTTGTGTTTTTTTTTTTTTTTAAATTTTTCCCATTTGGTGTAAGTTTTAAATTGAATTTAGTTTTTGAAAAATTAAAAACTAGAAAAAAGAAAGTTCACTTTTTAAGCTACACTAAAATGAGGGAAAAAAGTAAATGGAACCCTGTCTTTTTTCACATTTAAGTTCACTATTACTTAATTACAGAGTAATAATAATGTTGCAGAAAATTTCGTAGCAGTAGGTTCTGTATCGGATAAACCTAAAAACAAGGGTTTTCAATAAGGGGAGTAAATTTTTTTTTCTTTTAGGATTTAAAATTACAGCCAATCGTAAATTTATCACAGGCTTCCCTTATCCTATTTTCCCCTTTAAACTAAATACAACCTTGCTTCTTTTTTGGCTAATTTAGATACACAATAACCCCCAAATAGGGCACTTAGCTTTTTTAAAGGTTTTTGGGGCCGATTTTTACACAGGGGGAGATACTTAAAGGCCATGTCGGCGAAAAGTCGTAAATTTTAGTTTTTGTATTGTTTTAGTCACTCTTTTTACTTTTTGGGGGTAAAATTTTTCTTTGAAATTTCTCTAGCAAACTGCATTAATCATAAAAAACAATTTTGATTTTTTTTAGTTTGATTTTTTGCATCCTTTAAATTATAGTATTAAGGTTTAATCATCTTCTATTGAATTAAAAAAAGCTTCATAATCTTAAAATTGAAGTAGTTAAAAGTAAAAAAAGGTTTTAAACTAAAATTTTAAAATCTTTTAGAAGATAAAATTAAAATGAAATGATTTATTCTTTAAGAGTATAGTTTATTTTTATATAAAGAAAAAAATAATCTACAAGGGAAACTTTTTCTTTAGACTGAAGAAATAAAGTTCCCGATTATTTTTTAATTTTCAAAGGGGCTTGTTTATTAAGTTATTTTGGTTAGGTTAGTACTAAAAAGTGTTTTCCCCTTTGGTTATTAAAAGTTTTTTTTTTTTAATTTTTTTATTCATTGAGTTGTTTTTATTTTATGAAGTTAAAAAGAATTTAAATTTTTGGTTTTTTGTTATTGTTTTTGTGATTTTTTTTTGTTTTGGTTTTAAAAGTTTTGAGTAAAATTTGTTAAAAATTTTTTTTAGGATGAAAGAGTAGAAAAAATTTTTTAAAAACTGAAGCGAAAACTGAGAGATATTTCAGTTCCTTCTGGACGATTAAAATGTCGTAAGTCAGTATTTAAGAATTAATCAAAACATTCAGTTTTTATTTCCAGTTTGTGGTTTAATATACATTGTACGCCATTCTAGGTATTGTGACTTAAATTCTTCAGCAATAATCACTTCCATGTTCTATTAGGTTCCGCAAGATCCCAGCGCAGACAAGGATATGCGAGCACTGCGGACAGCCTGAGAGGAATGACACTACCGAAGTCGGTCACGTCCACGATGCTCGCACCGATCACACCCACAACCCTTTAGCTGATCAGGAGGCGGGTCCACATACCTGCCTTCACAGGAGAGAGTGCCAGAGCTACAAGTGGCACGTAGAGTCTGTGAGAGAGAACGGTAACTTTGAGTCCCCACAGTGGAAGGAACCCAAGAATGGCTTCAAGCGCCTCCGTAGCACCCACCTGGAGAAGAGTATCGAAGCGAAGAAGCACGTAATCAAAATGTTATTCGTAGTTGTCCTTGAATTCTTCCTATGCTGGACGCCTATCTTTGTCGTCAATATCATGTGCCTGTACATCCCCGAGCAGGTCTATAGAGCTCTGGGATCCTTCGGCATATCCTTCATGCACCTTCTATCCTATGCCTCCTCCTGCTGCAATCCCATCACCTACTGCTTTATGAACAAAAAGTTCCTACAAGGGTTTCGTCATGCGTTCGGCTGCAGAAAGGAGAACGAGAGGATGACAAGGCAGAATGGAACGGCAGCAAGCTTCAGGAGTCAGAGCAACAATGCATGCAAGCTAGCCTTAGAGATAAGGAAAGACACCCGAGAGACTACTGTGTAAGGGAGACAAAGAGCTAGAGAATACTGTAGTGTCTGGGGAGAAAATAAAAGATATAGAGTAAGGGACTAACTGCCTTGTGACGGGATAAAGAATATGATACTTTTGTGTTGGGGGCATACAGAGGTGAACGACCTGTGTTTGAAAGAGTACGAGCACTGGGTGATACCTGGCGATTGTGTGAGAATATGAGAACAGTGCATGAAGGTGTAAAAATGCCGGAGGATCCTATATAGAAAACAGTATGCAGGACATATATGTGAGAAATGCAACTGATAAAACAAATACCATATCCACAACACAGACGCCTCCACTCACAGAAAAACTGTCCAGAGCAGAAGACAAAATTAATTTTAAAAATGAAAAAGAAAAGAAATGAAAGAAAAATTTATCTAGTACATTTGCTTACACAGGAACATGAGTAAACTCGGAAAACTAGTTTACGAGAAAGTTCGAAAGAAAATATAAAGGAAATTTACGTGGTTTACCGGACCTCAAAGTTCATAACACTACTTGCATTCTGGTGCATCAAGAGAGAAGGAAGGGAAACCTAAACAAAACATTTCATCAACTACGAAAGAAAACAATTCTTTATACATAATTCAGTGCCAAAAAAAAAAAAACAGCAAAAGAACAGTCTGTGTATGTGTGTGTGTGTGTGTGTGTGTGTGTGTGTGTGTGTGTGTGTGTGTGTACTCACCTAGTTGTACTCACCTAGTTGTACTCACCTAGTTGAGGTTGCAGGGGTCGAGTCCAAGCTCCTGGCCCCGCCTCTTCACTGGTCGCTACTAGGTCACTCTCCCTGATCCGTGAGCTTCATCATACCTCTGCTTAAAGCTATGTATGGATCCTGCCTCCACTACATCGCTTCCCAAACTATTCCACTTCCTGACTACTCTGTGGCTGAAGAAATACTTCCTAACATATATGTGTGTGTGTGTGTTAATGCACCTACGAATCAAGCTTCTCTTATATACTGTTTATTGTGTAAACTATACAGTTAATAAAGAGATTCATTGTCTGTAGAGGTTCCAGTTCATATTATAAAATATTTTACCAGACCAGGAAGTAAAAGTTGTATGTTTTTGTGCTTGGCAAACCTGACACGCTAATTTGAAATCTGCAAGAAGTTCAAATTTAAAATTGTATATTTACATTATTGCAAATGTCAAGGTCATGGCCACGAGTAGATGGAAACACTTGAGCTATTCTCTTTGTAGAGGAATGCGTAAGACAGTTAAGAACAACAGGCACATCCATTATTTAATATATATATATATATAGATATATATATATATATAAAATATATATATATAAAATATATTATATTATATATATTTTATATATTATATATGTGTGTGTGTGTGGTGTGTGTGTGTGTGTGTGTGTGTACTCACCTAGTTGAGGTTGCGGGGGTCGAGTCCGAGCTCCTCTGTGTGGTGTGTGTGTGTGTTGTGTGTACGTACTCACCTATATGTGGTTGCAGGGGTCGAGTCATAGCTCCTGGCCCCGCATCTTCACTGTTGTGTGTGTGTGTGTGTATGCATGTATCTCCTCATTTGATTTTTTTGAATATTTACGAGAATTAAAATGAAGATCTAATTTGTCTCAGGCTCACTTGCTTTTCACTCTACTACCAACCAGGCAACAGGAAAACGAACCAGTGATATCCCACTGAGTTCCAGCAGGGTTGTGGAAGGATTATGAGACCCAGTTTACACTTCACCTGACGCACTACTGGCACTCAAGCATAAGCATAGTCCAAGCTGTCTGAATAATTCTGCATTACAATTCTGCACCTCACAATCATTTTCCACAAAGCTTGTAAATTTTATTGTACTTACAAGAAACAGTACTGGTATATAACTGTGAATAAATTCCTGCCAGTTGCTTAATTGATCAGGAATAAATAATAGGAACTAAACTACCAGTAGTTCATCTCTGGTGTACAATATGATTCAAAGTGACTGTGTCGTGTCCCTGACCACAAAAGTAACTATCTGTTTGAACGTTGGCAACGGAAAACTATTGTAGGACCAATAGTTCCCCTCGGGTTTATAATATGGTTCACAGTGTCTCTGGCATATCTCTGTACACAAAGGTTTGAACTCAGGCAATGGGATAAATATTGCATAATGGTCCTGAACAATCGATATTGTAAATGCAGTCATCTGCCTCACTTAACTGATGAATTTCATTTTTGTTTTATCGTCGTTGATTTATTCTGGCGATATAGTTATATATCTCATTACCTTCTGTGGGTTATTGTGTTATTGTTCTGATATGTCTTGTCATCATCCTCTGTCCGTGTTGACACATCAGAAAACATTTGTTCCAGATGTTAATAAAAACATTGATGCATTGCTCAAGGAACATTCTAACTTCTTTCTCTCTCCACCAAATACATTCAATAAAATAGTTATGTCCGTTTTTCATTATCAAAATCTTGCGTAATTATTGTTTACATACAGATAAATATTGTGGGAAAATTATTTATTGGTAATCTACAGAAATAAACATAAACAGGACATCACAAAGCTAAAATAAAATAAAAAAGAGGAAACATTAATAAATAGTGATGGGTGAGTGGATACAATGTTGGGCCTCTGTATGAATGACCCACGGTTCGAATCCCCGCCCATTCTTGTTTATTTATTAGTAGTCATTCATTACGATTTGTGTGTGCGTACACAACACACACATACACACACACTATGTATATATATATATATTATATATTATATATATATATATATATATATATATATATATATATATATATATATATATATATATATTATATATTATATATATATAAAGCCTAGAGAAACAATGGATTTCTCAGTTAAAATAGGAGAGGAGAGTTATTAAATGGAGAGTTAGAGGTATTGGGAAGATGGAGGGAATATTTTGAGGAATTGTTAAATGTTGATGAAGATAGGGAAGCTGTGATTTGTTGTATAGGGCAAGGAGGAAACAACATCTTGTAGGAGTGAGGAAAGAGCCAGTTGTGAGTGTGTGGGGGAAGTTCGTGAGGCAGTAGGTAAAAATGAAGGGGGTAAGGCAGCCGGGATTGATGGGATAAAGATAGAAATGTTAAAAGCAGGTGGGGATATAGTTTTGGAGTGGTTGTGCATTATTTAATAAATGTATGGAAGAGGGTAAGGTACCTAGGGATTGGCAGAGAGCATGCATAGTTTCCTTTGTATAAAGGCAAAGGGGATAAGAGAGAGTGCAAAAATTATAGGGGGATAAGTCTGTTGAGTATACCTGGCCAAGTGTATGGTAGAGTTATTATTGAAAGAATTAAGAGTAAGACGGAGAATAGGATAGCAGATGAACAAGGAGGCTTTAGGAAAGGTAGGGGGTGTGTGGACCAGGTGTTTACAGTGAAAACATATAAGTGAACAGTATTTAGATAAGGCTAAAGAGGTCTTTGTGGCATTTATGGATTTGGAAAAGGCGTATGACAGGGTGGATAGGGGGGCAATGTGGCAGATGTTGCAGGTGTATGGTGTAGGAGGTAGGTCACTGAAAGCAGTGAAGAGTTTTTACGAGGATAGTGAGGCTCAAGTTAAGAGTACATAGGAAAGAGGGAAATTATTTCCCAGTAAAAGTAGGCCTTAGACAAGGATGTGTGATGTCACCGTGGTTGTTTAATATATTTATAGATGGGGTTGTAAGAGAAGTAAATGCGAGGGTCTTGACAAGAGGCGTGGAGTTAAAAGATAAAGAATCACACATAAAGTGGGAGTTGTCACAGTTGCTCTTTGCTGATGACAATGTGCTCTTGGGAGATTCTGAAGAGAAGTTGCAGAGATTGGTGGATGAATTTGGAAGGGTGTGCAAAAGAAGAAAATTAAAAGTGAATACAGGAAAGAGTAAGGTTATGAGGATAACAAAAATATTTAGGTGATGAAAGATTGGATATCAGATTGGAGGGAGAGAGTATGGAGGAGGTGAATGTATTCAGATATTTGGGAGTGGACGTGTCAGCGGATGGGTCTATGAAGGATGAGGTGAATCATAGAATTGATGAGGGGAAAAAGGGTGAGTGGTGCACTTAGGAGTCTGTGGAGAACAAAGAACTTTGTCCTTGGAGGCAAAGAGGGGAATGTATGAGAGTATAGTTTTACAACACTCTTATATGGGTGTGAGCATGGGTGATGATGTTGCAGCGAGGAGAGGCTGGAGGCAGTGGAGATGTCATGTCTGAGGGGCAATGTGTGGTGTGAATATAATGCAGATAATTCGTAGTTTGGAAGTTAGGAGGAGGTGCGGGATTACCAAAACTGTTGTCCAGAGGGTGAGGAAGGGTTGTTGAGGTG